ATGAGGCGTTAATAAATATTATTAAAATAGAAAGCTTTATATTAATTTAACTATATATATTTTTTTTTAATTTTGACAGACACCGTGGATTTGAGGGAGATGCAGAAGCAATACCTGAAATTTTTTTACGAGGTTTACTACGATTTCGACTATAATTATACTTACGACACCGACTATTCCTATTCCACAATGCCGAATCAAATATTTAGAAAAGACGCTACTAGATCCTACTTTCAGCAAGACCTGTCTCAAAATTCTATGGATGATTACGCCGATTACGAAAGATACGATTATATACAAGAAACCTATTATAGATAAACACATGGTGTTGGATAACTGGCAAGCAAACTCATCATTTATTATTATCATATAATGGAACGCGGCGCTCCAGAAAAATTTTGGGAATCCTTAGAAATATTTAGTGTTTTGTATCAAAATAAATGAAAATATATTTAGTAAAATTAGCTGTACATACCATTTTTTTTTTAATCAGTTTGATAAATTTAATAGTTCCTTTTAAATTTTAATCTCCTACCAAAACGAAATATTCAAATGACGATATCTCCTTAACATTCCCACTCTTCCTCCTATAACCTCTTTTATATTTAGATGATGATCTCATGCCATGCCCCCTCACCGGAGTAGAAGTAACTAGATCTAGTGTTGTTGGCTCGTTTTGAGCCGATTTATAAAAACGGCTAACTCAATATTTTAGCCGGATAAATATTTGCTAAGCCTCATGATTTCGTTAATAGATGTCCAAACCTTTGTTCCTTCTACAAACAAAATCTTCAGGCTTGCGTAATATTATTCTGGATGAAATATTGATTTAGCCGTTTTTAAAATCGGCTCAAAACGAGCCGTTTAACAACACTAACTAGATCAGTCTTCTATAAGTTTTTAATCTTGAGCGCATAAATTTTTCGTATGGTACAAAACTTTTTTTTAAAATTTATTTGAGATTCAAATTAAACTTTGCATTTTTTGTATAAGTTTTTTTTAAATTTAATATATAAATTTATTTTTTTAAAAAAATTTGATTCAAGCCCTATCTTCCTAGTGTTGTTTAAAGGCTATATTTAATCGATCCCAAAATAATATTATGCAAGCCCCTAGATTTCTTTAATAAATGTTCTAAACCTTTCTGGCGAGCTAAATCTTCAGACTTGCTGAATAGTATTTTTGGCTAAATTATTGGATTAAATATTTTAAAAAATCGAGTTTTAACAACACTACTATTTCCTATGCGTAATGATATTGAGCTGGCCTCGTAACCGTATCCGTGGAAATTATTTTAAATTTATTTTAACAAAATTAAAAAAAAATGACTAGTATGCAGAGTTGTTAAAATGATATAAAATGTGGTGTGTTTATCTAGATACTATTTTAGATGTATCTGTATCTGTTTTTAGATACTTTTTAAGAAACATTTAAATATACATTTATTTAACAAAGATAAAAATATTTTGAATGTAAAATTCATTATGAGCATATAATTTAATTAAATATATATTAATAAAATATTAAGTCTAATATAATAAAAAAAAACATATTTGTATATAAAGTATTAAAACTTAAATATATAAAGTATTAAAACTTAAATATATAAATATTCATTAAATATTATTATTTTCCCCCATTTAAATCTATAGATATCACTTCAAAATTGTGAAGGATATCTTTATCATGTATGTTAAACAACGTACTGCAAACGCAAATGCTCAATTTGTTCTTATTATCACATTTAAAAATATTTTATATATACCAATAATATCATTCCAAGCATTTCATTTTAAATATAAATATTAATATCAAAATATCGATATTACAACCTGTTTAAATTATCTTTATTTTTTTTTCATTTAAATATAATAACACATAATCATATGATTAAAAATTTTTTTAAAACAAAAGAAAAAATTAAAACAATTCTATTCTTCTCGAAAAATCAAAATATATTGAAAAACGTCCATAAATGTCAATTATAAATAGACAGATACAACACACACTATAAAAGAATATTATAAATTCTTGCTCAGCCATGATGCCCATTATTTATTAAAGCACAAAATTATTTTAACGAAATAAATTTACTTTGAATTTTTTAAAATAATTTTATAGATAATCGTATGAGTTTTAATGAATAAATGTTAAGGTAGCAGGGAATTGTCAAACACAAAATTTATTTTATTTAATTTATCTAAAAATATCACTATCACAACTATAAATCATATGTTTATATACACTTTTACAATCAATCAAACTCTTAATCTTGTGTCATGTGAATGAAATAATCTATATTTATAATCACCGTAATCAAGAAATGAACGTTTTTGTATATCCTTAATGTTAATTTTTATTTTTCTCATCAACTTTCCTATCTTAATGTTAATTTTTATTTTTCCTATCAACTTTCCTATCTTCTTAATGTTAAATAAATCGATGGAGACTATATCTCTCTAATGTTAAATTTTAAGAAAATTTTTTGTATATAACGGGATTCGAACCCATGACTTATCGTTTTAAAGGCAAGCGTTCCTGTAATAGTTCATGATTTTTTTATTCCCGTCATTCTTGATGGGTTATCAACTAGTATAATATAATTGTGTTAAATGTTTAATGTTTAATATGTTAATAAATAATCATTTTAATAAAATACAACGAATGAATGAAATCAATTGCAATATATGCCAAGCAACACCTAGTATAAATAAAATAATTATAAATATAAATCCATATTTAACAATAAATTATAAGTGTAATGCATAGATTTTTTAAATAAATGCTCGCTTTAAGTGGCGTAGCTAGGAATTTTCCTTAGAGGAGATCCATACATATAAAAGCAACTTGGGCCTTCGGCCGGGTTTATCTTACAAATCATAACCATATCTTCGATAATATATAATAAATATATTTTTTAAATGCATCAATAATTTGTTTTATAATTTTGTAGATTATTCTCAATGACTTTATAATAATACTATCCAGAATAATTTCAATAGTAATATAATATCCTTCCACAAACATCAAAACAGAAAAATATAAATGTTATTGGTATTTATTTGATATAAAGTCACCACTTATAAGTCTTTTGAAGGTATAATCTAAAAATAAATTTTTGCCCTGGGAGGGGTCCAAACCCAACAACCACCCCCGTAGCTACGCCACTGCTCGCTTTAAAGGCGAATTTGTTGGAAAGAAATGATAATATTATGGAGTTATTGACATTTTTTTTATTATTATCTTGTTTACATATTTTTATGCTCTCATAATAAGAATTTTTTGTTCGAAAACAATGACGAACCCTGGAGATATAAGTATGATAAAAATTATCCGTATCTAGATATGTTTTTAAATGGCCTATCTATATTTAGATCTATTTAAAAAGTATTTTTTTTAGCAACTCTACTAGTATATGTATTAATTATTAAAATCCTGATGTAAATTCTTATTTTTTAAATTACTTCCCGTTCACAAAAAAAAATTTCTCTTAGCTTTCTTCGTATTTCACATATATGTTAGTATGTTTTTTTTCCAGCAATGTATTATTAGAATAGGTATTCCAAACATGATATTTCTCTGATGTAATCAAATTTTTAAATTTAAACATACGCGCTCTACCAAAGTTGAAAAAAATAACATATTGCTGGAAAAAAAACGGATTACCGAATAAAACATATTCTTAAACCTTATTCAATATTTTGTTTAGCGCTTTTTGAAATACACTTGCACAATGAGATCGAAAGATAGGTAAACACACCGTCAAACGTTACAAGGGTTGCATTTTCAGTGGCGTTTTATTTTCTATTTGATTTAAACCGTTTGTTGATTATATGAATGGTAAATAATTTCGATATCAATATAATAACTTAAATAGAGTTAAATTCCAAGGATAGGCTAGGACTGAATTTCGGGATGCTTTTAAACTTGTGGAAAATAAATTTTGGCACTAAAAGAGAAGAAGTGCGGTGAATCCCTAATTTTTCCAGAACATTCCTAAATATAATTAAATAAATGAAAAATTTTTTTTTTAATTTTACAGTTCGATTCATAAATCAAGAATGTTTTTTTTAAATCAAATTTAAAATAATTAAATTTATTTTTGTTATGAAATGAAACGTAAAAAGTTTCATTGCGAATTTGTTCGAAAGAATGATAAAAATAGATCTTGTTTACTCTTTCTTTCTTTCCTTCTTTCCTTTCTTTCTTTCTTTCTTTCTTTCTTTCTTTCTTTCTTCTCTTTCTTTCTTTCTTTCTTTCTTTCTTTCTTTCTTTCTTTCTTTCTTTCTTTCTTTCTTTCTTTCTTTCTTTCTTTCTTTCTTTCTTTCTTTCTTTCTTTCTTTCTTTCTTTCTTTCTTTCTTTCTTTCTTTCTTTCTTTCTTTCTTTCTTTCCTTCTTTCTTTCTTTCCTTCCTTCTTTCTTTCTTATTTTTGTGCTCTCGTAATAGGAGTTTTTTATTCGAGAACAACGACGAACCCTGGATATAAGTATGAAAAAAATTTGTACGAGTATATCTAGATACCTTCTTTCTTAACGCAGTTCGCCCAAAGTCTATCGGGTTTTTTTGATCCGTATTCTAGTTATTTTTGACCGACCCGGCTATAATAATTAAATCTCATCCCGACCTGCGGAAATATTTTGCATAATTTGTCGGGCCCGATAAATCCCAGACCAGCCTGCCCCAAACATTTTTTTAAAAAAATATTATAATATATAAAAATTTCTTTATTATTATTATTATCAATATAAAAAAAAATATGTATAAATTTGTATAACGAAACGCTAACATTAATTACATTCTAAAAAAAATGTTTAACAAATTATTCATAATTATAATTTACATAACTAAATATTATTTTTTTTCTAAGCTTTATAAATATAATTCATATAAAAAGATAATTCATTTAAAATATTAAATTTATAAATATTAAAAATACATTAAAAATATATATTATAACATTTTAATTTTTTTAAAAAAAAATAAAATAAACATCATTTGCTTATATAAATTTTGCCCTTTTCTTGTAGATACGATTTTTGGCATTGAAATTTTTAGCCAATTTCTTGTTTTCTTGACCTAAAAATAGGACAGTAAATATAATTATTATGTATTATATTATTTACAAGCGGGATCGCAAATCCCCTCTTCTGGTGCTTCTTCGCCTAAAAAGAGAGAGACGATAAAGAGTATTATTATATTTTATTTTATTTACATGATCCTGAGTCGCAAGATATTTCAACACCTATAAATATAATCAAAAAAAAAAATATATTAAATAAACATTGTTTAAAGTATGGTTCCATCTGAATCGAATTATCGAAGTAACTTTTAGAAATTTTAATCATATTTTCATCTTGATCCGATACATTTTGCGTATCGGAATCTAAAAATCTAAATTTTTTTTGATAATTTTTTAAATCTTTAGGATGATAGCTAATTCTCTATTTTTTTAAAATGAAAATAGGAGTAAAAATATATTTTTACATGATAAAAAGAAATTAAAATTGTTTCAACATTAATACTTTTAAAAGTAAGACTAGAGAATTGGTATTCAAGTTGAGTCAAAAAAACGATGGATATAACATGTATGCAAAAGACGTAAGAAACAAGGAGACAATTGTACTACAAGGGTGCAAGTATCATCCTACGATCTTACCCCTCGACTGTAGCAGAAATTAAGAAAATCTCTGATAGATTGATGATAATAAAACTCTGCATCTGTCAATCAATGCTAGCTAAGCATCCTTTCGGTATAATGCATCAAAGTGGTTGCAAAGACATCGAGAAATTAAAATTTTTAAGATGTCCTGGATGATGCTGAGATGAAAATCCTTATTGATGGCATAAGCATATTACATGAATAATAAGGAAAGGCCAGAAAAGTTACTATGGTATATTTGCATCTAGAAAATAAATAAGAGAGCGTATATCGAGTTTTAGGCAATCCTTGGAACCTTGCTTTCATCTAGGAATATGAACCCCTGACCCAAGTTGTTTTTTTGCGGAATCCAAATTGGGACATGAAATCTTTATAAAAGTGAGGGTTCAAGGTGTCAAAAATTTTTTTAGGAATAAGTTGTTTATCTCGTGTTGATTTATATCAATTATGGAAAGTTAAATATGGCCAATTTTGTAGAGAAGTTAATAATATATATAAATGATAATTTAACAATATGCTATATAATAGGAATACGTTGCTTATCTTGTTTAGTATCGATTTCTATCGGAACCTCTACAAACAACAACACTACGATAGCAAACAAAACAATTGATGTGGGTTATATCTTGATTAGAATTAGGAAAATTAACTACTTCTTTTTCGTTCGAAATATTGGAAAAAATAAAAATTCTAGAGCAAAATCATTTTTTCGAAACAGTGCAGTTTATGCCTCTGTATATTTAGGCTCTCGGTATCAAGTTCCATTGAGTATTAAATATGGATCAAAAAAACAAGCTTAATAAATTATGGCATAAACAAAACTCTATTCTCTGCAGCATATAGAGGAGGTTACTACGACATCCAATGGTTGTATTGATAATAATGATAACACAGTTGTTGACTATAACTTTGAAAAATTACTTGTCAGATAAAGAGAAGAAAAAAAATTATAATCAGATAAAAGATAGGAACCACGCATTCCTATCAAATCTTTTATCGAATTGGTCTCGCGGGTTAAGAGAACCAAATATTTTGAAAAATTCTGGGAAAGAAAATTCTCCTATTTCCGGTTTCCAGAACTAATTATTTTACCTAGAATCATTGTTGATATACCAGTTACACAAGTACAGTAACTTATATTATAGAGAGATTGGTATTTATTTTAGGTCAGCGTTGAACGGAGATTTTCTTCTTTGAAAATACATTTAAATTTGCTTAAAAATCTCAAAGATTATATTTTAGAAGATAGTATGATTGCGCGATTAAACAAATCATTTTAGGCTGTGTCCTAAATATAAAAAAAAACTACTCATAAGTTTTAAAAAATGCATAACTTTCGTGAGTTTTGAGAGACGAAACATATTCAAAATCTTCCATCAAATTTTCAAAATATTGTTAAGTTCTCCGTTTAAAATATTCAAAATGTTAGATACGAATGATTTATTAATTCTATATTTTGTATTACTTGACATTATTTTTTTGGGCAAAAATTTCACAAATTTCAAGATTTTAATGATAAAATGTTAAAATTTTCACAATTCGTAAAACTGAATCACTAAACATTCGCGAATTAGAAAATCGTTTAGGACAACATTTTAATTTTACATTAAAAATGGCTCAAATTATTTTTTCCCTTTTCTCGTAATTTTCGAGATTCGATATTTTATATTTAAGGACATAGCTTTAAATATAAATCAATTTTTAATTTTTTTTTACTTGTAAATTATATAAATAGAGTATTTATAATAGAGTATTTATAATAGAGTATTTATAATAGAGTATTTATAATAGAGTATTTATAATAGAGTATTTAAAAATAAATGAATGGGAAAAAAAAATTGTGTTATTTTGGGTCTAAATTTCTAAGAAAAAAACAAAGAAAGAAAGAAAGGAAGGAAGGAAGGAAGGAAGGAAGGAAGGAAGGAAGGAAGGAAGGAAGGAAGGAAGGAAGGAAGGAAGGAAGGAAGGAAGGAAGGAAGGAAGGAAGGAAGGAAGGAAGGAAGGAAGGAAGGAAGGAAGGAAGAAAGAAAGAAAGAAAGAAAGACCCCCTAATATTCTTTAAAAAAATAATTAGTAAGGAATTTGTGCACTTACTTTCGCAATTGCTCCCGCTAGCACATCCTTCTTTCTTCGCGTTACCTACACAAATTTAAAAAAATATATATAATCTGTTAATAACCTAAAGTTTTATACTGTTATCAAAATTGTGTTCTCGTGGGCTTAATTGTTACCAAAATATTTACGCTGTATACGTTTGGTTATACTAATTTTTTTAAATAACTATTACACATTTTCAAAAAATATGAAATTATATATATATGTGTTAGCGTCAACTAACGTTAAATCATTCTTTTGAGCACGTTTTTTTTAAATTTTAAAAATCTGATTTTACCGAAAGTGTATGGCGTCATGTTTTGGAATTACCTAGCCTATAAATTTTAGGGCAATTTTTTCTATGAAACTTTTTAAATTCGACATAATTTTTCCCATATATTTTTTATATTATAAATTGTAAAATGACTCAAACAGTTAACAGCAAAATTATGTCTACAATTCATAAGATAAGGTAATTCAAAACATGATAGAATATATTTCTAGTAAAATCCTAAAATAACGCATTGCCGGAAATAAATGCATTGACGCTACGCTAACATATACACGTATACTATATACAATTTTATATATAATTCAGTAAAATTTATGTTAAGCTTACCGATCACTGAAATTTTCTGGCACCCAGCTGGATTATCGCAAGAACCATCGCCTTTTAACCAAAACAAAAAAAAAATATTTTTTCGTTTTTTGTTTTATAAATGACGTGTAAATTTATATAGGAAAGATGAATTTGTATACTTTTCTCATATGATATTTGCTGCGAGCTTTTAGATGACTTTCTATGTTTTTTACTATTCGCTGATTTCGAAGATCCTTCTTCTGAATATTTATTAGACCCGCCAAAACTTAATATTTTCACACTTTTTCTGCCTCCCTTACACCCGGCAGGGTTATCGCAATCGTCTTTAATAAAAAAAAGGTTTAATTAAGGATAAATTATATCTAACTTTCAGACTGGGCAGCCATTTGTTGGGAGGTTTTAGATTGTTTTTTATGGGAGTCACTTTTTGACGACTCAGACGAGCCCGACTCGTATTCTTCATTGTTACCGCTATAACCCAAGTTTTTGCTTCCACTACACCCAGAGGGATTACTACAACCATCTTGTTAATTTTTTTAATTTTGCATAAGAATATAGTAGCCTAGTGAATAATATAGGACTAATATCTATGCCTAGAGAATGGATCAAGACGGGCTTACTCTTTTTTGCCATCTTTCGCTAAACCTCAAAGCCTTTGTCCCCGTTTATAGTTAAGCGCAAAAAAAACCGATATGTCGCTCAAACTATGTGCGATTTATCGCTTAACGATAAGCATAGCTGTATAAATTGATATTGAGAGATATCGCGTTAATCAGCGCTTACCATAAACTAGACCTTAGCATTTTACATTTTTTTTAGCCTTATAATATTGATTTAGTCCGTTAAGCCAAAAAAAAGAAGAAAAATTGGGTAAATTAAGAAGAAAGAAAGAAAAAAAGAAAGAAAGAAAGAAAGAAAGAAAGAAAGAAAGAAAGAAAGAAAGAAAGAAAGAAAGAAAGAAAGAAAGAAAGAAAGAAAGAAAGAAAGAAAGAAAGAAAGAAAGAAAGAAAGAAAGAAAGAAAGAAAGAAAGAAAGATTAACTCTATACCAAAATTATTCAACACAATTCATATTGAAAAGTTTTGGGTAAAAAAACAACATTAGGTGAAATAGATGTATAGGATATAAATGAGTATACTTTCGCCATACGCCAATTGTTGCGAGGTTTTAGATTTCTTTTTATGAGATTCCTTATTTGACGACTTGGATGAGCCTTCATCCAAACTTTCCTGGGACATACTATAACCAAATTTAACAAAATTTTTGCCTGATCCACATCCTTTGGGTATCGAACAAACGTCTTAATTAAAAAAAATAGAAATGAATAGATTTAAATTGTTTGTTATATAAAGAAAGAAAGAGAGAGAAAGAAAGAAAGAAAGAAAGAAAGAAAGAAAGAAAGAAAGAAAGAAAGAAAGAAAGAAAGAAAGAAAGAAAGAAAGAAAGAAAGAAAGAAAGAAAGAAAGAAAGAAAGAAAGAAAGAAAGAAAGAAAGAAAGAAAGAAAGAAAGAAAGAAAGAAAGAAAGAAAGAAAGAAAGAAAGAAAGAAAGAAAGAAAGAAAGAAAGAAAGAAAGAAAGAAAGAAAGAAAGAAAGAAAGAAAATATGTATACCTGTTTTCTTCCCGCAATTTTTACAAGTTGTTACTCCACCAATATATAAAGCTATAACGGTAAAATATAATTTGGTCGATAGATTAATCATAATGTATATATTTGTTTTTTAATAAAACTATTTTTTATAAATCTTTAAAAATTAAAATAATTTATGTATTATAATTAAAATATAGAATAATTGTTTCTAGAATACTAACAAGAAATTCACAATATTATGATCTTACTTTATATTATTAGTTTTATATATCAATAATATTAAACAAAATCAATGTTCGAATAAATCTTGTTTAAATATTAAAAGTAAAATAAAACCAAATTTTTACCAAATCTTCTATCATTTTAAAATCAATCCAATCCTTTCAGATTACTCTCAAATTTTTTTTGTAAAGTTAGTATTTTTATTATACTAAACTAAGGGCACATTTATAGTAAAAAAACGCGTTATGTTCAAGTGGTACCTTAATTAACGCATCGTTATTAACTAAAAATCAAGCCCAATGAATAAGTAAAATTTATAAATATGGGCCGTTATGATGATAACGCTACGATAAAATTTGATAAACATATGTTTCGACGTATATTTCAAAAAATTATTCGCGCTACGAAGAATCAGCTGTGATTTTAGCGGTAAATAGAGCAACGCTTGAACATAACGCCCTGGGAGAAGAAAAAAGTATCAGAACTCTCGGTCACCTCTACTTAAAGTTTGCTGAGTTTATTTTTGACATGATGCGTATGTAAATGTTTCGAATAAAAATTGAACTAGTAATAATTTAAATTTTATTTATACCACCTGTTGCGAAAGTAAATGGGGTGCTTTCCTTTTGCCTCCATTGTGCGCCACTGCGTTCTGGGTTGCGTACATCCCGCACTATAGGGGAATGACTATGTTTGAATTGGGGGGGGGGCAACCCGGGTTTAAAGGATTGTAGTGAAAATTATAGTTCATTACTAAAAAAACCCAAAGATAGCAGACGGAAATGGGCAATAAATTTCGGCCTTGCGCGGAAAATACAAACATATTTTCAAATCAATAATGACATTTAATTCTAACCTGCTCAGAGGATTTATTCATTCATTAAAAATGCATGAAAAAGTGTACATGTCTTGAAGTCCGCCGTTGAAAGGTATTCCGATTCTCGATAATGCATACTGCTACAGCCAATGACATTGACTACAGGTGACTTCAAGATATCTATGCACTTTTAATAAATGAATCGATCCTCAGTCTACAGAAGTATTAATGTCATCGTCTTAAAACACTTTTTATTTGAATTTGTTGTCATGACATGAAAGGAAACAAATTACCTTATGAATGTTATAATCCTAAAAAAAAAAATTAATTGTTAATGATATTTATGCTGGGAAATCTTATAATTCAGAAATTTTTCACGATAAATCTTTTTGTTTACTCTGTATCTCTCTCATTTAGAGATCTACAAAACAGCCCGGGGAAAGTCGGACCTAAACATTTTTTGAGTTCGGTTGGGACCACATTGAGCCTCCCTATTTTAAAATAAATATTTTCGAGCCAGGTTGACCTAAATTTCTTTTCGAAATTTAAGGCCCGATGGGTTAATCGAAATCCTAATAAATATCTTTTTTTTTTAAATTCGGGCAAGTTCGGATTTTATTTGCCGGTTTTCTATAAGGTTCTGGTTCACTTCTTTAGCACTGCTGTGTTTTAAAAACCGGTTGCAATGTTTAAAAATTAAAGGTGATAATTTAAATTCGGCAGCGTTAAAGAAGTTGACCAGGGCAAAGGCCTGATGGCATAATAATCGACTCAAATAATTTGATAGGATGAATAATAAGTTTTTTCGTTATTCAAAGTATATCCTGGCCTCGTTTTTATTTGGCATCTTTGCCTCCCCTAACACAATTGCAGTCAGTCAGGATAATTTGTTTTTCTTCTTTTGTAGTAGTTTTGTTAAACGGCTAACTTAATATTTTAGCCAGAAATATATTGCCTAAGCCTCAAGATCACGATATTATATGTGTAGACCTTAGTTACTTCTATGAGCAAAATCTTGAGGCTTGGATAATATTTTTCTGGATCAAATATTGATATAGCCGATTCTTAAAAACGGCTAACTTAATATTTTAGCCAGAAATATATTGCCTAAGCCTCAAGATCACGGTATTATATGTGTTGACCTTAGTTACTTCTATGAGCAGAATCTTGAGGCTGGGATAATATTTTTCTGGATGAAATATTGATATAGCCGATTCTTAAAAACGGATAACTCAGTATTTTAGCCAGAAATATATTGCCTAAGCCTCAAGATCACGATATTATATGTGTAGACCTTAGTTACTTCTATGAGCAAAATCTTGAGGCTTGGATAATATTTTTCTGGATGAAATATTGATATTGCCATTTTTAAAAACACTACCTTTCTAGTATAAAATTTAATTCAAAAAATTAAAACAAAACAAAAAAATTTTACTGTGTTAAATTGATTATTTTAAATAATAAGTTTGTTTTTATTTTTTCTTTATGTTCAACGTTCTTTATTTATAAGATAGCTAAGCTTTTTGAGACCCGAATTCCATACGGTTTTTTTCCCCCTAAAATTTGAAAAGAATACTCATATTACACAAATATTACAAATCCAATCAATAATTAATTTTTTTTTTAAATATAATTACATTAGCATAAAAAATATTAAAATTTTTTTAATTTATGAAATACTTTAAAAATTTTAACGAAATAACATATGATTATAAAACTCACTTTTTAAAAAATTTTATGGGTAAGATCCAGAAGAAAAAAAATTTAGAAAAAATTATAATTATAATAAGTAATTATTGGTTATTAATTTCCTTTTTTTTAAACTAAATTTTAATGTATTTCCTCTTGTCCCCCAATTACTCTATCTTATTTAAATTTTATTAGTTTTTTTTTTGGAAGAAAGGTACTTTTTATATTCTTACATTCTATTACTCTTTCATTGCTATACACATTACTAAACATTCCACACTCATATACTTCATAATCTGGGACAAGGTTTGTTGGAATCCCTTGAGAAAAAAATGCACAATTATATGGAGGATGGGGCCTTCACCTTTGGGCTGGTCTATAACAAATGTGCTAATAAAGATAAAGGATAAACAATCATTTTCAATTTTATCATCTTTTTTTTGTTAAAGTAGATTTCTTTACATAAAATAAAACAGGTCAAAAACTATATGTAGTGAAAATATTTTTATTTGTTCAAAAAAAATCATTTATTATATCATAATATATTATATTACAATATATATTATATATATACGCATTCAATTTATTATTATTATATCCCTATTGCACGATTTTGTAGTTGATAAAGATGATGGCTAAAAATTTAATTTTACAATTCTGTTATAGGTTTTTTGATAATACGGGCACAACTGCTGGGAGGCCCTATGAAGACGCATAATTTTTCCCAAAATAAATGATCGTCATACATCACCACGGGTTGTGTCATAAAGCTTAGAGCGACATCGGAGTAGCTATACACTTGATGAGAAGTATTGTTGCGACGATTAGTAAGGTTCGAAGCCTTACCCGCCATATACTGAAAAGTGTGATCGGGCACAATAATAGTTATAACCGCGTTGTTATCGCGACGGGTCGACCCGAGACATAACTCATGATACAGATGTACTACTTCCCTCGACTCTGTTTTAACAATGATGTTCGTATTAATCGGTGTCTCATGTTGGTTAGCAGACATTCGCCTGATCCCCTCGTAAGTATCGTGCGTCAGGATGAAGGCTATCTTGCGGCTATCTTGGGCGCAGGCGTTGACTACTTCGGTGAGAAAGGTTTCGCGAGAAAATTCTAAGCAGAGCTTGTACTTGCGAGCTCGTTCCAACCCCGGTACGAGGACTGATCTGACAAAAGAGGTTTCCTTGTGGGCGTAGGATACGAAAACGTCATAATCGTATATGGATATTCGAGGCTCGCGTCGGAATCGGTTTAAAAGAGTGGAAACTTTCGACGAATAGCAGTTCGGTATATGGTCCGATTTATTTCCGATCATCGATTTGGTGTGGTTGTTGGAAGGTGCTACCATCTTTTGGTATTCCGACCAATAATATTTCGTGGACACATCGGATTCCATTTTGAGTCCGCTTTGGGCAGATTGATCATCGGATCCGCGAAGAAGAGGGTCAAAACAAGGAGGCGGTGGCCTGCTGATTCGTTGAACTATCTTATCCTTCAAAGAAAGTTCGCTGTTATTGCGAATAAAAGAGACGAACCCGAAAATACCGGTTAAAGCCAGTATGGCAACTAGTCCGATCAGGAGAACCCTAAAGATGGTCGTAGATGTCCAAGTTTTAAAATTATTCTCGACTGGGATTCCCTTTCCAGTTTTATTGATGACTCCTTCGATCACGTGCTTACTATCATAATTAGTGGCGTTAATTTTTTCCGATTGATAAATCGATTTTAGCCATCCCGAGGTGCCGTTAAACGTTAATAATGTTTCGTATTCTTCGGTGCTGTATTGTACCGAAGACGGTGTAGCTGATTCCGTGGAATACGGAGATAATTGAACCCTATGATGCACTATGTCAGATCGAGAAAGCTTGACCCGAACAATTGCTTTCAGTACCGTGTCCCCGAATTCGTAGTTAGGACAAACTGGCCATATTTCCCTCACATTAAGGTCTAAATAGGAATCGTTTAAATGTGCCGTAGAATAATTTCCGTCCGTGGCATAAGAGGTTACAGGGGCACCGTTGGTAAAAAATTTGATCAACAACTCGGATTCCATTTCAACCGGAAGAGTCAATTTGCAACTCAAATCATCCAAATCGGCTACGATGGATCGAGTCGTATTCGCGATGATTTGGAACAATTGACAGTCCTGGCAGCTCAAAGGGTTGTGAGAAAGATATATCGAACGATTATCAAGTGATTTCTGGTTATGATTCATTTCATCGTTCGACAAGATGCCGGCCACTAAAGAAGGCGATAAAGAATAGCCGGATAAAAATTTAGAATCTAAGCTGTGAAGTAAATTGTAACTCAGGTCTAACGTTTTAAGGTTTGACGAATAAATCGCGGCAAATTGTTTGTAATCTAAGACTGTCAAACGATTCCGACTCAAATTAAGAAACTTGATGGAGAACGTGCCTTCAAACATATCGGGAGCCAAATGAGTCAACAAATTATTGCTGAGATCCAGGAACTCCAGGCGGGTCAATCTCGCGAATGCCTTATTCTCCAGCTCCATTATTTTGCTAGAATTCAGGTAAAGTTCCTTTAGTTCAAAGAGGGCGAAAAATGTGGCTTTCCTAATTATAGTAAGGTTGTTTCCACCCATCTTAATCACTGTAGCGAACTTGGGGACTTGCTCGGGGACATGCGTCAACGCCAGTGAATCGCAAACAACGGCGTTAAAGTTCCAGGTTGCATCGCTGTAACAAGAACATCCCTTAGGACAGATCAACTTGCAATCGCAGTAAAAGAATTGGCAGCATCGGCACATCGGGAAACAATGGTCGGTGTACGGGCATACAAAGGGCAATTTCAGGTAAATGGCATCAACCACTAAAATTTGAAATTTTCGATATGGATCAAAACATCGTAATTCCCGGAGATCGTCCAATATTAGAACTCCACTAGGAATATTAGAAGTGTTAACGAGAAAGTATATGTCAGCAATCCAATCAAAGTGACAATCACAAAGTAGTTGGTTACCCTTTAAGGCGACTCGCACGTTAGGAGCTTCGTGGGATAAAAAAGGGTTCAAAAACAATTTGGAAGATAAATTGGAAATAAGGTTGAATTCTAAATTGAGCATTTTTAGGTTGGGTAAATTCGCGAAGAACAGCTGATGATTGTCTCCTAATTGAGTGATCCTATTTCCTACTAGAATAAGTTTGGATAAACTTCGAGGAAACGAATTTACGGTTAACCTGTCGATCCCGTTGTATGACAGGTCCAAAACGGTAATAGATGATCCATGATCCTCTGCGCAAATAGAATAGGTAACTATGGATATACTGTTTTGAGTGGCATTTAATAATTCAACGGAGGAAGATATATCGCAAAGGTTGAGGTTTTTAATATCGTTATTGCCTATATCCAGATCTTTCAAATTCCCCGTATACGTAAATAACCCCTTTAAATCGGAAAATATATTAAAACTCAAATTTAAATGTGTCAGGTAAGGGATATCCCTAAAATATTGAGGGGCATCTATCAAATCTAACGCATTATGCGACAGGTCTAATCGAGCTAATTCTCGCATCCCGCTAAAGGCTTCAACCGAGAGCGTCTCCATAAAGTTGTAGGAAACGTTTAAAATTTGAATGGAATTGACGTAGGTGGAGGGAATTGAATTCGTTTTCAGGAAAGATATTTGGTTGTGAGACAAGTCCAATTTTGTTATATTCGTTGCATTTAAAGTCAGAATAAGCTGAGCCGGAAAAGATGTCAATCTATTTCCCCCCAACATCAAATGCTTTAGGCTAGGAGAGGTATCGCATTTGATGGATGACTTTTTATAAAACGATGTTGGAGATTGGTTCTTACAATTGTTAGATAAATCTAGAGATTCGAGCTTAGGCGGCAAGCATTTGCTTAGTTCATTGTTCACTGGGTGCGTATGATTTACAGTTACAATGAGTCCTTCTTGGAATAGAGATGTTAGGTTATTAAAACCTAGGAATAACGCCCGCAATCCGAAGAAGTTAGGAATAACGCTCCATATTGCTTCCGTTACCTGGCATCCCTCTAGCCTCAGTTCTTCTATATTTTCATAGTAGTTGTTGTTTATAGATACGTTATACTTATCATCAATCAAAAAGTCTTTCACCCAGCCTTCGTATCCTACGTGCCCATCGACACTAAGTAAACGACTTCCAGATAGATCCACACTTCTAAGGCGATCTCCAATAACGGTAATCAATCTTTTTAGGATAGGTATCCGATGATGAGTATCCAATAAAAATTCATCGTCGATAAACCGTATACTGTTCAGCTTCTTCAAGGGGTCTCTCATAGATGAAAAATCGGGGTCGCTGTTGACGTCATTGGTATCGCTAAAGTCCTTCTCGAAAAACGATATAGCTGAATTCCTGACGGTAAACTTGTTGGGTATTATAATACGCGTATTCTGAACGGAACCTTGGGTTACTTCGAATGCAAATATCGCGATTAACGAGTTTCTCGAGGTGTTACTAAAGCGCGGATTGATATTTAAGTGACAACCTCGTATCTCCAGCTGATAAATTTTTTCCGGATCATCGTAAGAATCAATATTTTTAGTCGGTAATATTTTGAACCGCGTAGTTGAGCGGGTTATATTGGATTGTCGGCGAAATAATGTTTTGTCTTGATAACAATTTATCGAAATGGTTGGGTTCTCAAGATGAAGTGAGGCCGGGGTTATTTGGACCTTGTAGCGGGGGAGTGCCTCCCCAAAAAATATGAATTCGGCATTCGTAGTTACGAGAAAAATTTTGATTACGTGATCGTCTCCTTCGTGGGAATGAACGAGCGAATTTTTATTAACGATTAATTGGGCAGGTGTAGTAGAGGATGTTAGGTTACCGTTAGTTAGCCTCGCGATGGATTTATATGCCCCGGATAAAGGGATCGAACAAATGAATATTGGAATTAACCATATGTTCATGTGATTTGGTTGGATCATCCTTCATTTATTTCGTTTTCCCTATATATATTTTTTAAAAAAATGTTTAAGAAATAATATTATATATATAAAATAGCATAGCCTAGAACCCTAAGATTTGTTTAAAAAAAACTTCTAATAAAGTGGTTTTTTCTAAAAAAAAAATGTCCGTAATATTTGTACTTAACGTTAACAGTAATACATCTTATTCTAATCACATATTATCCCGTTTTCAAATATATAGCAGTCTTTTGCAATTTGATAATATCCTTTTTCAATATTAATTTATTTCTTTCATTTATTCTTTCTATCTGGTCAGGACAGTACATACTAATATCATTTTTTTTAAAAAAATGTTATAATATTCTTATATTGATCGAGGTGGTTTGCTAATTGATTAAACTAAGCAATTATGACTTTCATTTTTTTTAAAGGTTTTCGCGAGAGATTCATATAATAACATATTCACGTAAAATTTCGTACCTTTTTGTTTAAACACCATTATTTGAATAAAAAAATAAAACCATATTTTTTTTGCCTAAAATAAAAAATTCGTAACATTAATAATATACCAAGATTATTTATAATTCTAAATTTAAAGGCGAACTTTCACATATTTTATATTATCTCATCTCGCAATTTTAAAAATAAATTACCATATGTTTATGTTAAATTTACTATATAATATACTGATAGCTGCTCTCTTAAAACTTGTTACAAAATATTTCCATAGGTTTTTTAACAAATTTTTTTAAATATTGTATTCCATCAAATTTGTTAATTTTTATTTCATTTTCAATTGCACACACACGCACCACGCATCTTTTTCCATTTCTCTCGATGTTTAAATCTGAATGGCAGACAAAAATACCCCCTTTAAAAAAAATAAACATAAATAAATTATCAATTTTTAGGATCTAAGCCATATTATATTATCAAAAAACCTTAGTCCACAATGGGAACAAAGTCCCTTCCGCCCAACTAAAATCTTAAATATAAAAATCGCTTCCAAGCAAAAACAATCATTCAAAAAATATTATTTAGTAGGGATGTACCGATATTTAATGGCGGATCGGGCCGATATTTCGCCTTTTGTTGAATATCGGTTTGAAAATCCGGGCCGGGCCGTATATTATAAAACCATATATTTGAAACCCGAAAAATAAATATTATTTATTTTAAAAAAAATCCGGGTTGGGTCCTGATATTTTTTTTTAAAAAAAAAGCCGGATCGGGTAAAATATAAAACCCGGGCCGGGCCGGGTCGTAAAAAATTCGGGCCGGACCGACCCCTGCAAATGGTACCATTGCAGGTCTCTGCTATATAGATGTATTGTACACTATTAAACGCCTACGCCTCGAGATTTCACTAGTAGTGCTAAAATTTTGTGTCATCTAAAAGCAAAATCTCCAGGTTTGTGTAAGTGTCAGGAATAGCCGTTTTTAAAAATTGGATCGAATATAGCCATTTTGCAACACTAGAGATGCATGCGCGTTAAAAATTTAAAAGCGATTAATATGTTTACCAGAGTTATTAAAAGATACTTTTTAAATGTATCTAGATACAGGTACATCGTCTAAAATAATATTCTAGATACCGATATTTTAATCAAAAATCTATCTAGATACAGATACCACATTTTTATATCTAGATACTTGTATCTAGATCCTTTAACAACTCTGATGTTTGCAGAATACAAATTACGATAATGATATCGGATATGTAATCGGCCGATTTTAATATAATATCGGATCAGACCGGTCTCTAACCAGCGGTATTGTTACTCCCATATCTCGGTCCATAACGGGAACAAAGTCCCCTCCCCCCAACTAAAATCGATCAGATATTATTTATGACTAACTTCGAAATCATTAGTGGGGAACTTTACCTTTTAATTTATTAAATCTAGTGTTGTTAATCGGCTCGATTTTTGCCCAATACATTAGCCACAAAAATATAGCGCGGACCTCGATATTTCGTTAACAGATGTCCAAACCTTTCTGCCATCCATGAGGGGATTCTCCGAGCTTTGCGCTATATATTTTTTGACTAAACACACTTGGGTTAGTCGTTTTTAAAAATGTGGGGCCGTTTAAGGACACTACCAATAGGTACAGTTAGTATTGTTAAATAGCGCTAGGCGAGTGGCGAGTTTTTAAAGACAGCTAACTTAAATATTTTAGCCCATAAAAATATTGTACAAGTCTTTTAATTTCGATAAAATAGATGTCCACGTTTTGGTCATCTATGACCAAATTCATTCTGATTGAGTAATATTATTTTGACTAAACACACTTGGGTTAGTCGTTTTTAAAAATCTGGGGCGCCGTTTAACGACACTACCAATAGGTACAGTTAGTATTGTTAAATAGCGCTATTTGAATGGCGAGTTTTTAAAGACAGCTAACTTAAATATTTTAGCCCAAAAAAATATTGTACAAGTTTTTAAATTTCGATAAAATAGATGTCCACGTTTTGGTCATCTATGACCTAATTCATCCTGATTGAGTAATATTTTTCTTCGTTTTTTATAAAAAAAATCAACTAACATCAAGACTCATCTATTTAAATGATAATATTTTATAAATTATTATTCCTTTTTTTTTCTTCTAAATATTTTAAATAATATAAACTTTAAAAAAAAAAATAATTGGGTTCCTAAAATAGAACAATGGTTAAATTTGGGAATAGGAATTCTCTTGGTTCAGATCTTAGCGATTTGATTTTGTTAGCTAAATTTTTTTTTTTTAAAAAAGCTAAAAGTCAAAGAAGCGAGACTGCCCGTTGGTAGACGTAGCTATTGGTGTGAATTATAAAATTGCTAATGCTTTTGCATTTGTTAATTTTTGTTTTATTCTCTGCTTGAGTAAGCAGGTTGCTATTAATATTAGTGGCATTTTTTTAAAAACGGCACGATTAAGATTTTAGCCAAAAATAGTGATATGTAAGTTCAAACATTTTTAAATAGAAATCCAGACCTTTCTGCCGTCTATCAGCAAAATCTCCGGGTTTTACATATTATTATGTTTCCTAAAATCTTACACGGGTCTACGTGAGACACATGAGTTGTTAATCCTGTTTTTAGATATAAAAATGTGGTATCTGTATCTGTATCTAGATAGATTTTTGATTAAAATATCGGTATCTAGATATTATTTTAGACGATTATCTAGATCCATTTACAAAGTATCTTTTAACAACTCTGTGAGTCAGATGTATAATCCCAAATAAGGGATTTGCTCATGGCCCAGGGGATAGCGGTCAGATCGTCGGGTTTTGAACCGTCATCTGTTGAGAGGTTTCAGGGTTCTCTGGATGTTAAACATGCTTAAAATTAAGCACCCATCTATTTATATATATATTTATAAATTTTATCAAAACATTCTAAGGCCGTGTCCTAGGTCAGCTTAATCTGGATACTTAATTTGAATTTTAGTATAGGCTAAAAAATTATCTGATCGAGGTTACCCTGTTTATTTTAATTATTTGGCGGCATTTTCGTATTTTATTCACGTTTTATTTGTTTTCTTTCTTTTTAATTTGTTTTTTATTAAACCGATACTTAAAAGACGGCTAAATAGCCCGTTATTATAAACATTAAGCTGAGCTAGCAGAGTTGTTATAAGATACTTTTAAAATGTATCTAGATACAGGTACATCGTCTAAAATAATATTCTAGATACCGATATTTTAATCAAAAATCTATCTAGATACAGATATCACATTTTTATATCTAGATACTTGTATCTAGATCCTTTAACAACTCAGTGAGCTAGGATAGAGCCTAAATACTTATTTCAATCCTTTCACATTTTGACCAATTTTGAGAGAAATAATATGGTTAAATAAAAAGTTAAAGAGTGTTGACCTAGCCAATCAGCAAACATGGCCGTTTATTCCACCTATCCCTGACATAATTTTTATTCTATCTATTACTCTTTTGAATTTTGGACTGACCCTATCCAGAGAACTTTATGGGCCGGGCCGGCCTAAAGAAGAATTTGAAGGAAAACTTTGTAAAAGTTAATAACTTTTTAAAACAATGCACCAATTCAAAAATTTTCAGGAAAAAAAAGGCATTTTATTTAATAAAAAAAAATTATAAAAATATATTATAGCCAAAGGACCTTCAATAAGTGGACAAGATCTCCAATAAAATTTATGGGTGAAAACCGAAATAATAGTGCGATTCCCAGCTCCCACCCCCCTTAGTAAAAATCCTGGATGCCATGAATTCAATATTGAAAATATTAAATTGGATCGGCCTCCAACAGGTCTGCAATGGGCGCGATTTGAGAAAACGCCCGTAAATTTTCCTGGTGGAACTAAAATATTTTAAATATCGTGCGGGTGGCGGACTTGGGCTGATGAATTTTAATTATTTTTGGAGCGAAATGAACTGAAACAGACTTACTCCTATTTAGTAAAAAAAAATCATTTTATAAGAAAATCTTTAAAATAAATAAAAAGGACCCAAAGCCAGCATTAAAATAATTTTTAAACACCATTGGGCAATGTGGTGGGGTTAAACGCCTTGATTTGAGTCGATTTTTATAAACGGATAAATCAATATTTTAGCCATAAATATATTGCATAAGCTTAGAGATTTCCCTAATAGATGTCCAAATTTGAAACCTTTGTGTACCATCTTTGACCTATCGGTAAAAACCTCTTCAAATAAAAATGGGACTTTTATATTAATTACTAAAAACTGGTGTTGATAAACGGCTCGTGATTTGGACCGATTTTCAAAAAAGGGCAATATTTTAGCCGGAAAATTATTGCCTGAATCACAAGATTTCGCTAATAGATATCTAAACCTTTGAAGCCTTCTACGAGCAAAATCTTCAGGCTCGCATATGTTTTTTTTCAGGATAAAACATTTGAGTTAGCCATTTTTGGGCAAATTCGGCTCGAGCAGTTCAACAACACTAGGGTGGGCGTGTTAAATAAGAATTTTAAATAAATGAGCGGGCAAGGGGCGGATAAATTTTTAAAGAAAACCTAGGATCGGCGGTTGGGTTAAAAAAAAAATTTAAAACAAAGTGGACGGACATCTTGGCTTAAACCAGCCCCTATTTTTTTTATGAAAATAAAACTATATCCTTACCCTCCCCTCCCATAGATAAAAACGTAGTATCGGGGGAATATGGAATCCATGGGAGCCTCTAAGAACGATTTTTAAAAATTTACCAGATAGGTTAGTTTCGTCCAATATTTTAGAAATCAAAAAATATTAAGCAAGCCTAAAGATTTTGCTCGTATATGGTAAGAAGGTTTGGTCATCTATCAAGGAAATCTTGAGTAGTTTTGTTATACGGGCCATTTTGCCGATTCTTAAAAACAGCGAACTCGATATTTTAGGCAGAAAAAATATCATGCAACCCTTAAGATTTTATTTATAAGGTGGTACAGAAGTTTGAACATCTATTAACGATATCTCGAGTAGACAATATTTTTCTGCCTAAAATATTGAGTTAGCCGTTGAGCCCTATATATTACAGATAGATATTCCAGCCATGTGTAGAGTGCCTATCTTAATAAATTTTCAGAGATTTCACGGTTAAATCTTCTTCTTTTTTAAAAAATTATATTTAAAAATTAACATCTGTAAGTGGTTATAAAAGTTTCCAGGGGAAAAAAAATAAATTTTTGTTTGAAATTCAGTGTGGGTATTCTACACGTGGTTGGTAATCACTTCCTGTATAATCCTATTAATTTTTTTTTTTAGAGATATTTAAAAATCGAAGGATTCCGAATTATTCTTAATCACTTATAAACAATAATTTTGAACAGAAACCTGCAGAGATACGGCCCGGTTTTTTTCTAAAAAAATTATTCGGCCTTTCCCGAATTTTGTATTTTCAAGCCCGGTCAGGCTCCAGGCCCGGCTCGGATTTTTATTAACTGGGCGGGACTTCCGGGTATGCAGGTTTCCCAATTTGAAAAAGAAAATAAGTACTTAATGGAAATTTTTCAGAAGTAGAAAAAAAGGAAGAACAAAACGTATGAAATAAAAAGTTGAAAAAAAAAAACCCCGCGAAATTATTATCATTTTAAACAAAAAAAAACTTGCAATAAACGAGCCGCCCCCTCCCCTTAATGGTGCACACAAATTGAGCGTTTACGTTTGGCGGTAATTTTTTAATAATAAAAAAAACGTAACGCGCCCTTTGTTTGAATTGAGGTTTGTCTTTTATTTTATTAATATCCGTCGATTCAAAATTTTAAATAAGTTCTAAAAAGATTTTGAAAATTATATTATCGTCTGCCTTTCTTATTTCTTTTTAATTTCTAAAATATTCCTTTTTTTTTAGGATTATAAGTAAGTTATTTATATTACATTTTTATATAATATTACAGAGCGAAGAATTTTAAAAAAAAAGTAACTAAAGAGCAAACCTATTTATGTTTTTTTAAATGGTTGCTAACATCAAACAGTAATTTTACCAATTTGTACGTGGCCATTTTGAAATTCATTATTTGTGCACATGCGCATTGTAATGTCCTTCAATTAAAATTTATGATCAAAAAAAAAAGCAACATAAATAAGCTTTTCCCTTCATCCGGATATCCTGGCTAGACCCGATTCGGGACGATTAAGAATATTTTTAAATAACATTATGCAAGAAAGATTTCTGCCCATGGCTGGGCAGAAATGCTTGGACATTCTATTTGCCAAATCAATCTCGATGCTTAGATAATATTATTTTAAACTAAAAATTTTGATAGGGTAGTTTTGAAAAATCGACCCAACTCGGGCTTTTTAAACCGCTACTGGCTACTTACGCCTATTTTACTCACTTAAACGACTAAATTTTCGTAGAGGGAATGGGGGAAGAGTTGGGTATTTTTTTTAAAAATATAGGTGCGACCTTACTGATCGATATCGGGCGGTTACTCGCGATATCGGTTAAAATAATCCGGTGACATTTTTAGTCAACATTTTGCTATCGGTAATCAAGACACTTGTCTGATGACTCGGATAATTTTCTAGAGAAAAAAGGGCATCCATTGATAAAAATTTCCAAACATTAAAACTTTGTTTATAAAATTACAATCACGGGGGGGGGGGGGTTCAAAAATTATTTTTTAGCTGATATTTTTCAAAATGTTTTTTATGTTAATATTTCCAAATTGACCTCTTTCTAAGTTCTTTTTAAATAAATTCAAAACTTTCTGAGGCACCTGAAAATTTCCAGTGATTTCGAGCCCCCTTCCAATGACGCTAATGGATGGATATAATACACCCCTGCCATTCTCGGCATCTATTGAAGGAGTGTTTGGGTGCAGGAAAGACGTTGTTGAAGAAAAAGACACTTAAAAATAACCATTAAAATTGGTTTTTTTTAATTAAAATAAAATTTAGTTATTTAGATTTATAATAGCATTTAAATTCTGTTCTACTCATTTCATTAGTTTAGAATTTTTGGGATTCATAATAAATAATATTATTAGATTGATCAATATCTTTTTTTTCCCTAGTAACGCTACGATACTTTTTTTAAAAAAAAAGTAAAGTAACGTAAGTGTAGCGAAGTCAATTATGTATTTATTTTTTGGAAGTATAACGTTGATAGCATAGCACTATTTAATAAAAGAGTAAGAATCTGTTTATCTCTGGCTTATATCAAATTTTATTCATTTTTAAATCATATTTATGAAAACTAAAATGTTGTGAAGGGGGAAGGGGGGAGCTCGCCCCCCCCCCCTCATCCCCTATTTAATCAGGCTCTTTTTCAAATTATTTGTAATAATTCTTGCCTACATTTATCCGGCTAAAAATGTCGAGTTAACCGTTTTAAAAAATTGGCTCAAAACGAATCGTTTGAAACACTAATAATTACCAAGTTATAAGGAAATATGAAAAATTCTATAACGAACACAAAAAGGACAAATGGCCTAAACAAAAAAAGAAGTAAAGAATAATATTTATTTTTTTCGTGGAAAATTTTTTTAGTTTTTAAAAAACAGAGTTGATAAAGGATACTTTTTAAATGAATCTAGATACAGATACAACGTCTAAAATAATATCTAGATACAGATTATTTAATCAAAAATCTATCTAGATACAGATACCACATTTTTATATCTAGATACAGGATCTAGATACTTGTATCTAGATCATTTAACAACTCTGTTAAAAAATGATAGAACCAGCAGTGGTACCATTTGCAGAAGCCCGGCCCGACTCGGATTTTTTTAAAATATATTATATTTATTTTTAATTTTTTTAACTAATAATGGCGATTTCAATAATAATTTTCAGGCCAGGCCCGGGTATATTTAAAAAAATTAAAATACGGGCCCGGCCCTGGAATAAAATTATATTAAATTAATTTTACTTCTTTTTAAAAAAAAAATAACCTTTTTTAAGAATGCGTTTTTCTGTAAAATGCCCTTAGAATTATATCCAGAAAATAGTATAATTCGTGTCTCTACCAAATGATCGAATTTTAAAAAATGATTTTTGAATTAATTTTTATATTTCGAATACTACTTTCCGATAAAAATCAAAAATCAAATACTTTTTTTTTCTTCAAAAATATTTCAAATATTTTATAAAATTTTACAACTTTAAATATATTTTTTTTTTATTTATTTAAACTTTTATAAAATATTTTTATAAATTTTTTTCCCAAATTTTAATCAAAATTCTATTTTTTTTCTTATAAAAATATTCAATAAATTTTATAAAACAAAAATTACACTTTAAAAAGGTTTTAAAAATGTACAATAATTAAAACATTAGGGGAGAATGGGGGAAAAAATATTTTAAAAATGATGGTAAAATAAACACACATATATTAAATTATATTATATATACGATATCAAATGAAGAATTATAAAAATAAAATTTTATATTTTTTTATTTCCTTAATATAACTCGCTGACTTTGCGATATTCTTATGGGATATCTAAGAAATGTGTAATAAAGTAAACAAAAATACATATCAAAATTTTAAATTACATTGGCTATAACAAAAAATAAATACATTTAAAATTTAAGATTACATTGGCTAGACCTATCCAAAGCATTGGCAAATGGAAAAAACATATAAATAAATAAATTAATATAGCTGGAAAAACGGTGGAATAGAGAAATCATCTTGAAACCACTACGAATGGGTGATTTTGATTTCTGACAAAAAGGAAGTTTTAAAAAAAACAAAAATGCACCATAAATTCTAGTATTTATATTTTTTTATTAAATAAAATATAATTTATATAAGAAGAAAAAAATATAGTAATAAACAAGAGAGATACTATGTGTGAATTATCAATTGATATGTTATATATAACTTAAAACTTTAAAAAAAAACAAACCTTAACTTCGAAGAAAACACATTTTTTTTTCCCCTTTTTTTAAAAAAAATGTAAGAAAAACAAACCATAAAAATATAAAAGAGAAAAAGATTTTTAAAAGGCCATAATAATCAAATTGAAAATGATAAAAAAACAATAAAATATACACAGATGTGAATTTTTTTGCCGTAATTTTTCTTATTCTGCTTGTGTTATTTTATTTTAATTGTGAAATAGGAATCGAGAATTTATAATATTTATACACAAATTTAAATTTAAAAAATGATAATATAAGGAGTTTCTTGGATATTTTTATTTAATAAACATATCTTTCTAATATAATTACAATATAAGCCGTTTTAAAAATTTTCGAGGGCAATCTATTTTTCATTATTTTCATCATTTTTTAAAAAACTAAAAATAAGGTTTTGGAGAATTTTACTGATCTACAGCGGAAATAGAAATTCCAAAAATGTTTGTGCTTAATTGGTCCTCTTAAAATGGTTAGTAAAATCAGTTTTACTCTCAACTAAGAATCCTTGCTCATTAAAAATAAATGTAAATATTTTATAATAACAATGCTCCCTTCTTTCCTCCAGTGCCCTCACTTCGGAAGGTTTAAAGAAAGAAAGGGGTGGTGGGTAGCCCCACAAATTTTTTTTACAACTTCCGTTTCCTCCTAGAGCTTTGGTTAGGGTCAAAGTTTTTATACAACTTATGAGGAATACTCCTAATTTTACTAGGGTTCCCGCTAATAATTATGGATCCTGATGTCGACGCTTCTACATGGGCCTTAGGTAGGCAGAGATGAGAAATATAAACAGGAAGTTATACTTAGGAAGGCTAAGATACTAAGGATTATTGTCCCTGAACTTCTTTGAAAAAAAACATTTTAAATGGCTCCCCATATTTCCAAAATGATTTAGTGCAAATAAAATATCTTTAAACCAATGTTCTGTTTAAAAAATAAAATTTAGTCGACGTATGCGGAATATTCTTCCGCTTTACTTTATCGAACCATTTTTTTTTCCCATACCAATAAATTGCTAGAAGGTCAACTTCTTTTGTCGCTTACGCCCTTGATTTTCTTCGAGGATCTAGGGATCGATGAAAAACAGCTGGAGACGCCATTTTAGTTACCCATATCATTATTAAAAAAATTTTAAACGAGAGAACCAATTTATTCCTATGTCTGGCGCCATGTTTATTATAGAATTGCCTTATCATCGAAATGATATGGAAGCGAGTTATCAATTTAATAGAAGTTTTTTAACATGATAATGATTACTATATGGGTTACCAAAATGGCGGGTCCAGCTGATTTGCATTAAACGACGCTTTCAGATGCATTATTTATGAATGCATTGTCAGTCTAGTATTATTATATGTCATTGCTATTACCTTACATATAGAATAGCAATTAGTATAATTAGATTTAATTAACTTAATTACGTTTTAAATTCTATATGTGTCGTATTTGGATATGGAATTCATGGTGATTCCAACCCTCAATTTTATATCATTTATTGAAGGGATATTTTTAAATTGAAAAAAATGTTTGATTTGACCGGGAAAAGGTATTCCAGCTGATGTAGAGTATAACTACCTTATAACAAATTTTGGTGTTATATTTAGTCAATTTTTTATGAAAAATCTATAGTTAAAATAAAATAAATGAGAGTTAGGGTGCGGTTTCGAAAGTTTACGTCAAAAATTGTTTCAAATATTCGCAGTGGAGGCAGGGGAGGAGGGTGGGGACTCTATAACACTCTCAAATTTATTTACCGCGTAATTGGATTTCAAAAAATTGCAATTTTGTACATCTTATTAGCAAAATGTCGGGATTCGGCTAAAAGATTGAGTTATCCGATTTTAAAAATCCACTCAAATTCGAGTACCTTTGACGACACTAGTAAAAACTATTATAATATCTATAAAATAAAAATAAGATATTTTAAAATGTAAAAATATATATATTTAGATAAGGTTAAATTTGGAAGCAACATAAAAGAAAAATCGTATACCGGGTGAATCAAACTCCTTTCATATAAGATTTTGGGATTAATACATTCATATCAGAGCCAATTTTTAAGGCACTGTATTTTTTATATGATAAAAATATAAGCTAAACCATTTTAACATCCATTACGAATACGGTTTGTCAATTCAATTCGATTCGACTTTATCAGAATGAATAAAAATATATAATAATAAATTATGGCTACCTTTTTTAACTTATTGTTTCCTCCTTTCACTTCTTCATAAAAAAAATAAATTTCAAATTTTTTTAACTTAATTAAGATATTCATAAAAAATTCTCTATAGTGCGCAGCAAATTTTCAAAAAATGAAAGTTACGAAAGGGCCTAACAGAACAATGCTAAATGATATTTTTTTTTACCCACTGGTCGTTGAGATTTTAAGTCCATTGAATAAGAAAAATGAAGAAAATATACTAGGTATAGAATAATAGGCCTCTTCTTCTACTAACTAAAAAACTTATTCGCATATTAATTTGTATAGTAGTGGTGGCTAAGCTAAACCATTAATATCAATCTTATTATTATAACATGCATATTTGTGAAACTAGTAAAATAGGGCTGGCGTCAAAACTTGATCTAATTCTGACTACGAGAGACGACATATTGTAAAATGGCGATAGATCCCTCGACAAATACTGCCATGAAATCATCCCTATTTCCCAACCTCATAAGATTTTCCATCCTATGCAGCTTCATTCTATTTTTTAAATAGAAAGACAAGTATTCTAAATATTGGTAAAATTAAGATACCTATTGACCATAATGCATGTATATGGTATATTTTTATGTTAACATTTTTTTTTGTTTCTTTTTCACACACATTAATTTAAAAACTATTAAAAATACTACAAAAAAAATGATAAAATATTTAGCAAAGATTTTTTTTTTCCGATTCCTTAAAGAAATTTTTTTTTCAAATATAACTAAGACGCCAATTTATAGGATGATTATTTTTAAATTTCTTATTTGGTAAGGATATTATCACATATGAACAGAACACTTTACCTACGGTCACAACATACAAGAGGGGGAATGTTGGAAAAGATATAATCAACGCAGAAAAAATTTTTTTTTGACTAACATATTGAGGGCCAGTTAGAAAGAGAACAATACCCATCGTAACGGTACGAAGATTATATCTTGAACACATTCACGATAATTAATAACGACAAATTTATTTTTACAGAAGATAAATATCTAAAAATGGCATTAAGAGGCATCTTTAAAAAAAAGAAGAGATTGCCTTTTTGTATTGGGCAGCTCAATTTCATTTCTCATATTTCTATTAGATTCATTAATAATAGTGAATTCGCTACCAACTACTTTTTTGACTACCTAAATTATTGTTTTATCAAATTCTCCCAAAACCTTAGAAAATCAAATTATAATTATTAACTATTATTTTAATATACATTTTATATTGTCGTGTTGGGAATCTGATTATTTATAATAAATTCTATATCGTCTTCAATGCCAATAATATTGTTGAATCTTTTTAGCCTCTAATGCTTACCCTAAAAAAAATTAGCATAAATTACCTGAGAGCCGAGATATAATACTTGCATGAGGCACGACTAGAATTGTTAAAAACCCAGATTCGGGTATAACCTTAAACACGACCGGATTAGATTAATAATTTAGCCAAGATAATATTATTTCCCAAATCGAGGTCTAACCTTTTTTTGTCATCTATGAGCAAAATTTTCAGGCTTAAATAATATTACTTTAACTAAAATTTTAATCGGATTGAACTTAGACCGGGCTTTTTAACATCCCTAGACACGAACTACAATTTTTAAGAAAAAAATGATAATGGGAAATATCCATTAGGACAATGTCATTATAATGTAAGAGAAGAAGAAAAAAATTGGTTTAAGAGTTTTTATGACAGCTCAGCTCACCAATCAAAGGTAGTCGTGTATAGCGTTGAACGTAATTGATATCTTATCTGATTTTCTTAAAATAGGCATAGTAATTTTATTCTTTATATATATATATATATAACATTGTGCTTCCGAAGTAACGTAGTTCAGTTGCTTATAAACGTGGATTGAGGAATCATTTCATAAACTTCGAACACGGGTTCGAATCCAGCAAGGACCCAGTTTTTTTTTACCTACAAGCCAATTAGATGGTTTCGTGCTACGGGGTATGATATGTATGATATCAGAAACTACTACCAGATCCTGTTAATATATTAGAATAATAGTGGACCTTATTGTATTTAATAAAAAAATTTGATCGTTATTACAGGAATTTTAGATAGAGAGTTGTAAATTTTAAAATCAAGAAATAAAATAGATTAAGTATACGAATAGTTCAAATTGAATACATTAAAAATTAATTATGTGAATGTATGAAATAAAATTTAGCTGATAATATACTATTTAATGACCAAATATATAATTAAACAATATTTTAATTTTTTTTAAAAATATTTCTAGTATATAACCGTTGTTTAGCGAATTACTATACTAAGACCCCGATTCTATATATCATTAACGCCGTGGATTAAGGATTCTCCTATACTATCGTATCAGTTGCTGGACTCTTTAAGTTATACTTATCCTGATTGAATAGTGTAAACTAGAGATCCGGGCCGGGCCTTAAAAATTATACATCTAAATTTATCAATTTTATGTTCAATTTTTTATGTAAAATAAAAATATGTGATTTTATTTTATAGAAAGTAGATGTCTTATATAACATATATCGTATATTTTAAGTAATTATAAAAATTAATTTCTTATATTTAAATAAATTAGGGCCGGGCCGGCATAATTTTTTTAAAAATATTTCGGTTT